GTGGCATAATAACATCCCCTACTTTATAAAGTGGTGTTTTATCTAGATATTGTAATTATTTCCTCTTTTTTTTAAAGACCATTAGAAAATACTAGTTTGTGGTGAAAAAGAGTTGGCATAATGTATTGCAAGGACAGTGTGCATCAGAGGTTGGTGGAAAAAATTACATGCAGATATTTTTGAAATCCATCAGAGAAAACAATGTACTACTGACCAGCACAGGAACTGGAAAAACTCTCAAAAACTGAAGCCTGTATTATCCCTTTCTGCAAATTCTATTTTATTTCCATCTCCCATTAAGCTGAACATGATATAGCAGGTGGTAAAATGGCATTTTTGAGATTTTGGTTGGTGCCAGCCTCTTTGCAGGATTACTGAAAAGTAACCAGGGTGAATATGGAGTTTGATATTGATCAACTTAATGATTACACCAAGAAATTGCTCTCCCTATGTATGTAATGCCCTGCATGAGATTAAACTCACTGTGACCCTTTCTACATTACTCTTTTGTTTCTTCTGCGCAGTACAAATACCTAATATAGCATTGAAAGGTACACAGCTGAAGAACACCTAAATTACAGTTAAAAGAACAACAGTGAGAAATGCCAGGGTAATTACATTTTCTGCACATTCCTTTCAGTTCATCATGTTTTCCTCAAAGATGTTTAACAATCATACATACTGTCTTCTTTGTTCTCCTGTTTCTCTTTAGAATATTTTTATTGAAGTGCTACGTAATATAAGCTTTGTTTTCTGAGGCCAAGTACCTCTTATTCATGTGATTCAAACAGTTATAAATGAACAACTGCAGAAAACTCTCCTTATTGAGTCTCAAACCTTTGAACTGACATACGAAATACGTATTAAATGGAAGGTTGGCAAACCTTTTGTCCAAACTTCCCACTTTTGCTACCAAAAAGTGCATTTGTAAATACTGTGTCTGCTGTGCTGTATCCCCCCCTGTACTGTACATTAGTCCCATTCTCTCTTATAAAATATGAAAGACTAAGCTTTTTTATCAACAGCATCAAGATTGTACAGATTCAGGTTTTCATTGATTGAATTCTACTGTGTCATAAAAGACTCAGATCACAGAAACACAAAAACTTCTATCAATTGTCATCAAAAAACCACAAACACTAGACAAAAAAGGACTAAAGAAAAACCACATCAACGGAGGCAAGGCCATTCAGTAAATTTAGTTTACATAAGTAAGACAATTCAAGAGGAGAAAAGAGACAGGCTAAATCCTGTGTGTAGGTTCAGTTCATCCTGATATCTGCCATAGCCTGGGACACAAAATCCTTGATAAACTTCGGTTCAATGGACTATGAATCATTCTTCCAGCCAAGAAGAGTAGTCACTCCTTTCCAAAACACCCCACATCCAGACTGCCTCTGTCTGAACTTAGAGGGCAGAGGAGTTTGTACACTAGCTTTTTCATCTTTCACATACTGATTAAATTACCTGTTTACCCGATTAAATACAACCCCAGAAAGGGGGGACATGCCAGCGGCAGGGAGAACAAAGAGGACTCCAAGGCCACCATGGTATGCTGGCACACAAAGGATCCCTATCTGAAACAATTCACTCCATGAGCGTATATGCAAGCTACCTCTGGCATGAGGAAACAAACAGCATAAATGCTGTTCATATGAAAAAACAGGTGTCTTGCATCATTTTGACAATCTTCTTATAGATAAATGCAACCTGAAGTGATCCTTCCTTCCTTCTCAGCTGCGCCTCCCCAATTTATTTTTTTTTAAATATCATTCTCTGCGTGCAATAAAACTGCAAAGAGTGCAGCATTAGTATTATTACTCATCTTAACAGAGGAACAAGTACATCATCTGCATCTGTGTCACTTTCTGAATATTCCACATTTCTCACTCAAGGACACTCACAAAAAACAACTGAAATAAAGGTATGAATTTAGGGTTCTCTAAAAATAGTGTGTGCTATTAATCAGAATTTAAGTAGCCTGATTTTAATTAGCATTTATTATCCTTTCAAATTTATTTAAAAAAAAACTTTCATTTTTCAGCTACCAATCATTTAGTCATCCATTCTCCTTGTTCTGCTGGTTTTCTCCCTTATTCCATAAAAGGAACAACTGGTGTCTTAAAACTTCTCTGAACATGCAAGTCTTGCTATAAAGACAGTAAATGCAATTGCTCTTGAATGATAGAGTTTCTGAGACTCATCATAACTGTTCCTTCTACTTATGCAGTATTTTACATCAAAGGCAGCTCGTTCAAAGACATTTGTACAATTAAACAACAAAAAAAAGTTAATCTTTGCCTCTTTCCCAGCGTTTATTTCTACATAAAAAAACATTATTAAATCCTGTTGATTGTTCTTCTGAATTGTATAACAAAAGCTCATGTAATCACTCCAATGAAGGAAGTTTTTGCGCCAGTGTTACTTTCCTCTCTTCTTTTAACTATATCTGAAGTCAGGAATACACAAAGATTTAAAAGAGTATTTAAAGCTAAGGATATTCTCTAGCCTGTCATACCAAAGGAAATGAAGTTCAGAATTAGCTCTTTCTTGCTTTATTTTCCACAATTCTATGTTTTATCTAGCTGCTGTCAATGTTGAAGTTTAGATCAGTATGAAATAAGAAACGAAGGAAACTACCAAAGTTAGTCTGCTTGTCAGACTGTGCAGCTCCTAAAATTCACTATTCCTCCTCAAGTTTTTTAAAATAAATAAATCATACTGCTTACATGTAACATCATTCTTCTCTTTCAAGACATAAGAATCAAGACATTGCTTCAGCACCATGTCTCATGCTGAAAATAGAGAAAGATTACTGGAAAAAGTCTTCTTTGAGATGTAATTGTTCATTCTGTTGACTTCCTTAGAGCCATCGTCAAAATAAAACAGTGGTCTCTGCTTCTATACAGACCTTGACCCTCAGAGGACTTGCCCTAAACTTCTGCTCTTTATCAAACTTCCCATCCAAGACCATTAAAATAATTTCTGAGAGATGCTGGGATTTCTTTCTTAGCAGAGAAATCCCTGACTGGCTTCATTCCCCAGTCTAGCTCTAGGGCAGTCAACACACTACTATGGGAGCAAGGCCACAGGATCAGGGGATACTCTGCCACCGAGTTGTGTGCTTGCAGGATCACACCTAGTGTGCACACTGGAAAGATTGACTTCTTTCTGAACTAGTAACAACAAAAAGAAGACTTCACAAAAATCAAACTCTGGCTGAGGTGGGGTCCAGAAACTCAAAAAACTGTATTATGAAGTATGAAAAAAAGATATGCATATGAAATATTCACATTAAAAACATCTGCTTTGCTCAGCACAGATCAGAAGCTTTAATCTTAGTGTGCTCCATCTGTTGTGGTGGTAGGACTATTGACCCTATCCTCCAATCTCTGGATGTAGCCAGGAGCTCCACAGAGCTCTCTGCAGGCCCACTCACCCCCGTAAACACTCCCAACTTCAGCTACCAGCTCTGATCAGGTAGAGGAGGAACATGAATTGCCATCTTTCAGCACCCACTGGGGACATACTCACAACAACAACAACAACAACAACAACAAGAAGACTGTTTCAGGGTAGTTTTCCTCTTTGCAGTTTGATATTTCAGTGTTTTCTTTGAAGTACTGATGTAGGTGTGACCATTTTCACTGCACTGCTGCCCCAGTCTGGGCAGTCAGAGTGCCTCCACATTCAAACTCTGCCCTCTCCTCTTCCACTTGAGGCTGAGGGAGGAACCTTTCCTCTAGCACGTCAAAGAATTGTTCCCTCCCACAAAACTTCTCAGCAGAGGCACAAATACTTTTATAAAGAATTCAAGGACCTTCACAGTAGGTTTTTCCTTTTTCTAGTTGCCTGCTCAGAACTTAAAAAAAAAATAATCTTCATATCACAGTTTAAAAACAACTATCACACCCCAAGAATTATGACAACAGGTTTGATCAAACAGATTTATCATGTTGATGATTTTCAAAGCTCTCGAGCACTCATAAATTGTTTGAAGCACAAAATGAGGCTCTTGGACTTATGACAGAGCAATATGCCACAGTACCAAGTCCTCATGATGTTCTTTTAGAAGGAATTATCTGCAGGTCTAACTCATAGTCATCCTACAGACTTAAGAACCCTACTTTTTTCCCCAAACTCAAACTATTAATATCTTAACACAGATTTCCTTCAGCTTAAAATTAACTACTCTTGGTCTGGCTTACTATACACTGTACCTTTTCAAAATTTCATTTACCACTCCAGTAAAAAAGCTATCCTTCTCTCAAAGTTGCAATCTTTGACCTTTAAAGTATGGGTAAAAAGTATATAAATAAATGTTGATGGAACAAGAAAGCTCAAGTTAAGGATTGTTCTGAGTAGAACACACCAAAATCTCCATATATTTTCAGGTAAGTATTTCTTAGTATTTTCAAAATAAACATCTCGACCATCCCTCTTGGCAACCAAGGTATTTGTACAATTTTTGTCAATATCAATGCTAAATTTACCTTAATATCAAGCACTACAAAAACTTCACTAAGTAAAGAAAATGACAAAAGGACAGTCAACACGTCTATTTCTGAAAAAATCTCACACAAAATTATGAATTGGCTTTATAGATCTTAGTCACCAGTGTTTTGCTGTAGGTTATAAACCTTCCATTTTAAAATACCTTATGTATCCAGCTTTTCCCCCCTTTACTGTACAGTTTATACTCTCGATGAGCCACACACATAAGAACAAGCCTAGCTTGAACACTGATAATGAATTTCACTGGAGCGTTTCTGCTGTTTTCCATCTGAGTGGGGTTTTTAGTTAGGTTTTTTCATTGATTTTTCTAAATTATACAGTATGCAAAGCAATAAACGTAAATATCTATAGTAATGCAGTATAGCACTGCTGAGAAACTCTTCGTAACATTTCTAGTTACTACTTAGTATCTATGTTTTTCTGCCAGGTTATGGTGATAAGATCCTCTGTTATGCTTAAAGAAAAAAGAATCAAGGCAAACTTACTTGATATAATAGGGCACTTTGTTATGTGAAACAGATCTCTGCCATGGAAACTGTACTGAGGCTGAGGAAATAAAAAGAAAGCAATTATTAGAAATCAGTTGTCAAATACAAAAATTCCAACTATATTTTATTTATTAATTTCACAATTAAACCAGTTGTAATAAATTAAATGAGAACAATTCAAATTTCCAAGACAACTTTCATTAATTAGAAAATTTGCTGGGAAAATTATGGCAATCTATCAAGATGATTGTAGGCATCTATTTGATGCCAAGCTGGAAATAAAACAAATGTGGTGATCCTACTTCAAAGAAGGATAATAAATTCTGAGCAAGCAAGCTAACCATTCAGGGAAAATGGAGACACTGGTTTTTCTACCACTGTAGAATTATTATCAGTTTAAGCTATGAAAATAAATGCTTCCACTACTATAATTAATGTTCTGCAACCGAACAAAAAGGAGAAATCTCAACCTTATTTTTATTAATTACAACCCTTAGCTCCTATTTGTAACTCAGATTTGATATTGACATTGTAAAAAAGAGGTTTTAAAACATGCCTTTGCACTTGTTGCTATACAGTGATAATCTGCAGAATTTACCCAAGTCTGATATATCAACAGATACCATCCATAACATTAGGAAGCCTTCTGCACAGAGTTGCAAAAGGCATGAAGCCATACATGACACTGTAATTCTGCTTATATAAAGATCCCAGGAGATAAAAGGCGAACAATGCTCATGCACAACTGAAAATAGCTGTTTACTGAAGAACCATAGCTATGTGTACATCCTACCAGAAACTGCCACACTAGTGCCTGTTTAGTTAGGGTTTTATCATGGAAGAAATTCACTTCACTAGACTCACCGTAGAAGCGGAGACTTAAAGAACAGGTAGGAATAATTGATCATCACAATGGGATAAATTTATACTGTACACATATGCCAAGATTTCCGAGACAGTGTCTACTCTCAGATACTAATGTTTAAAACATGGCAAAATCGGACACAGCTTTGATCCACATGGGATCTCAAGTAATTAAACTCTCAATTAATGTAATTTTCTGCAAGTATGTACCATTTTAGAGCTCCGATGCTCTTTTGAAAAAAAAAAAAATCCATTAGAAAGTAACTCTCTGTCCTTTTCCCTTAAGACCTCTCAAGGCTGCAGCAAAGACTTACAAGCTACATTGGCTGGTGCTGCTGCAGAGAGAGGCCAGTCTCACCCTGCTCCCAGCTGACTGTTCCCTGAGTAGTTTAATAGCTGTGACATCTTCTTGGACCATAAAAAATTTCATAGCATATAATTTAAGAAACATTTAAGTACTGAAAGACAGATTAACTGGGAAGAATATTTGGGAAGCTACAGGAACCAAGTAAATCATATTATTCACTGGAAAAAAAATAGAGAAAATTCCATAGCACTATTTAAAGAAGAAAATAACATTTGCAATAAAGAGGGAGGTAGTTACTTGGTGAAGAAAAAAAAACACAGTAAAGACTAAATACTCAAATAGAGGTAACTAACTAAAAAAAATAATCCTTAAGCATTCATAACTGAAAAAAAAATAAAAATCAACCAGATAGGTGAAAGAATTTCATTCTTTAGTGTTGCAGTTTGGCACCTACAGTGGCTCTGATAATACTACATTTGCTATATCAGCTAACTAAAAAGAAAAATCTGGCCACAGTTTCCTTAGGTACAATTTATGTACTATAACAGTCTATAGATATTCTGCACTGACACAGATATAGGCTAAACAATGCAATAAATTAAATCGTTAATCATTATGGACCAAGTCGCACTATTTATTTAGGAACAACCTTTCTAAAAACATTGCCAGTTCTCTGCTGCATGAAATTCCCATTCTTTTTAAAAAAATCATTTTCTTGATGAAAACTGAACAGAGTGGTTATTGATTCTGGCACTAGCAGGCCTGCAGATATATATAAGGCTGGACGTCACTCAGAGATGCTTTGAGCAGGCCACCTGAGGACTTAAGAGTATTCATCAGGGAACACGTGGAGTCAGTGCTCCACGGATGCCCATGGATTCTTTCAAGAATGAAGAGAAGGGTCTTGGGTTACAATATGTAACCAAAAATGTGTAATTCTATTTTCATTTGTTGAAACTGGTTGGAAGATATTTTCATTTCTTGTAACTCCAGGGGCAGGTGCCTTCTGTTAATGGGTTAATCATTGGTTAATGATGGGGGCAATCAGGGGGAGTCACCCCTAGCCCGAAGCTGTGAGGGCCTGAACCTCGGCCCTGCCCTGGGGGGTGCCTGCGCTGCTGCCGGAGCCGGACCCGCCACGCGGTCTCGTGGAGCTCTGGTCGGTGCCACCGCCATTTTCGCCATAGGAGGACTGGACCCGGTCCTGTCGCCACCAGACCCCTCTACTGGATTATCTCTACTCCAACGGAGCCGCATCTGCCACTCCAGGAGGACTTTAATTTGGATTTATTTGGACTTTTTTCCAAGTCAGGTTGTATTCTGACTCTGTCAGAGGTTCTGGGATTATTTGTTTCTTGTTGTTCTTTTTCCTCTGTATCATTACCTTTGTAGTCTGCAATATTCTCAGTAAAGAACTAGTATTCCTATCCCCATATCTTTGTCTGAAAGCCCCATAATTTCAAAAGTATAGCAATTTGGAGGCGTGTGAGGGGTACACTCCCTATCCCAAGGGAGGCTCTCGTTACCTCTCTCTTCTAAACCAAGACAAGAAGAAACACAACAGAGATGACTGGATCATGGGCGTGAGAAAATAAATGAATTACAGAAAAAATAAATTATATTTTCTAAAGGCAGGAGACAGCACAACAATCTTTTTGCAGAGAATAAGCAATTATAAGGATTTTTTATCTGTATTCCGGATGTGTAAAATTTCCTGATCAGTAACTAACTTGGAAGGAGCTTACTTTCCATCTCAAAAGCACTGAAAAAGAGAGCAATCACATTCTGTGTACCACTGCTGGGAGAGGAAAAATGGCTCAGCAAAAAAGAGGGATCATAGACTGTAGTGGCCTGCTAACGCTGCTTTACCTCAGCCTCCTCCTGCAGCACGTTTTGGGAAGGGCCAATGTCACATTCTTTGCTAGTCTTCAAAAATATTCTGAAGCACTTTCTTAGCTATGGTCTGGATGAATTCACATAATTGGCTTTCCAAGAACTCTGGCGGAAGTATTAAATGCTGCACTGTGTCGTTTTACTAAAAAAACATCACTAGCCACTGCAGGGCTGAAACCACTGGATTAAAGGGGGCTGAAATCCAGGTGCTGGACCAGAAGATCTTTCAAGATCCCTTCCAACTCAGGCTACTCTGTGACGTTATGAATCTGATATACAGGTAGAAATGGGTGTATTGCTAGCACAAATTACTGATTTAATGACAACTGGGAGCTAGTCAGCTGGAAATGGTTTGATGGCAAGCTATGGTCTCTTGTTAGGATTTGAAGGAAGAGTAACATGTAGGTGAGGTAAATTTAAAATAGCTCCTGTCAATAACACAGATAAAAACATCCCTTCTCACTCAGAAGTGCAACTTTGGAGATAAAGATTTGCAAGAGACATACATATCATAATCTCAGTTTTAGAAGTCTGAGATTCTTCTATTCAGACTACTGCTCTACTTGTTCCTCACAGTTAGAAAAGTCATTTATGGCTGCTACAATAGCTTGAAAAATTTGATACAGAATATGCACTATTTCAACCTGTCAGGATAAAATCTTCATTTTTTTTCCAGATTTAATGAATTTTTTTTTTTTTACATTCCTTTGAAATTACTGTCCCTGACTTTCATTTAACAGACTTCATATAAAGTTCTGTAGCTCTGTCTAGCTCAAGCTCTTAAACCATTTTATTTTTTTGAAAAAAGTTTTTGCCGTAGTTTGTGCGGGGAAGGAAGTTGGTTGGTTTTTAAGAAATAATTTAAATGGATAACTGCTTATTATTTGGTTTTGCAGGACTGTGGTACTTGGCTAGAGCTCTTCGTGGTATATACCAACACGCATTCTGGACATTTTCACTTCTTTACTTTTGTATGTAATATAAACCAAATGTCCCGTTAAGTCTGGAGAAGACAACCTAAGCAAGGCTGAGGCATGCTGATAAGGGACTGCATAGCCTCTTTGGATGTAATTCTATGAATGTTTTATGCAGCAACACAGCCAGTTCACCACTCACTCACTCCTGTGAATGCAATTATTTGTTGTGGTGTTCCATAAGCCAAAGCAAGGAAATGATCCAAGTCAAGGAAAACAAAACCGGCCAACATTGCCTGGCAGGCTTCCTTGTTTCACATGGACTCTCACTGACTTTCTTTCCATTCCCCGTCCTAGATCAGTCACTTTGACCTGTACAAGATGCAATACTTCTAATTGGGATTAGAAGATGCAATACTTCTAACTGGGTTTAAAAAAACACAAAGCAAAATCACATACTTTTAAAGTTGTTTGTTTGCTCTGACAATTTTAAATGAAAAGGACAAAGTGCCTCCAGGAATTATGTTGCATAAAGGCTGTAGTATTTTAAATACATGGCATCTTATTTACCATGATGCTTATTGAAAAACTAGTTATCACTTTAAAATAACACCACAGTTGTCATGTAACTCAAGAAAAAA